CACCGGGACCTAGGACAATTCTGTGGCCAGGGATATCTGTAGGAGAATTCTTTCACACACCAATTTGAAGCACATACACAAATACGTTGTCCTGGGCTCTATCAAACCTCTTGAGCAATCTGACAGTAATGTGAGACTATAGAAAGAAGGAGCAAATACAACAGAGAAGAGAAATTAAGAGGTAACATACTTTTCTTTCTAGGAATTATTCCCACTCCCTTTCTTCCTGTATGTATTAAAACACACATACTTAAACGCCATAAATCAAATCTGATCTTCCCCTAGGCAGTTTGAACTTCGTCAGCCTGCACTACGTATTTTGACATACTTACTCTGGACTGCAGGATGAGCTATTCTCAAATAATTTCTCCAATGCATTCACAGTAAGCCAACTTGTTTAAACACCAGATAGGTTTTTCATCACAATAATCACCTTATTTCAGCGGCTGATGCTTTACATACTATCTTAAATCTCAAATAATATTTTTATCATCAGTATGTGAAGGCATCATCATGACAATACAAATCTGTCTTGGTTCATATCTTGGGGACGTTTCAGTCTCATCATACTAATACTACCTAAAGCTCTACCCTAATCCTCAATGCATTTATCTTCACAATATTGCTAGTGAAGCATCCTTGTTTAATTTCATAAATAACAAGTTAGGGCAAAATGGGACCACAGATATTTATAAAGGAAAATGCAGCACTTTGGTTTAAAGTCTGTGTTTCAGTGATTTTACTATGATCAAATACATTCCTATAAAGAAGAGGAATAATAAAATTATCTTTTATGGGAAAAGAACTAAGTAACAGCATTGCATTGTTGCAGAGTAGCTACTATGTTATGGCTTACCATACCATGTTTGTATGGAAGGACTGTAAAAGACCCTGGAAATAAAAACCACAAATACCACTAAATAAGTTGTATACCAGTCAACAAAAGTATTTCAAGTTCCAATACAGCAGAACAGTCAATTTCATTTGTGATGTTTCATGCCTATGTTGACAAAAGCACAGTATTCTTTTTTTTAGCCTTTCTTTTCTTTTTTTTGGGAAACAATTTGTTTACACAATATTCCCAAATGTAGAAGTTATTTAGAATATTATCCAATAAGACTAATCATTTCAATTTTGAAGCAAACATTTGCAATTGTGAAATATTAAAACCAAGTAATCCATATAGCTACACACAGACCTTAACAAAAATACATATACTCTCAGGAAAGATTTTGCCTGACCAGCAATGGAGTGAGCTTGACAGGATTTCAGAAACTCAAAATGTTTCAAAATGTGGGGCTTTTTTTACATAGGATCAAATTCTGGGAATTCTACGAAGTTGGGCCATATATGCAAGAACAGTAAGAACAACTAAGTTATCATATCAGGAGAAACAGGACAGGATATCAGACATTTGGATATACACAAAAGGAGAAGTATTGGTCGTAATTATGGCAAAAGCACTGCTAAGTTCACTTGCATCATGATTCCATCAGAAGTAGCTAGGAGAGAAGTAATCTTAAATTAATCTAATTACAGAGTTTTGAATAACTTAAACCCATTTAGGTCTAAATGTCTTAGCACTCATTGTAAAATACTTTTTTTTATATTTATGAAAAAGGCCTTTGCAGAACGTGCTGGAATCAAACATGATGTCAAAACTTCACAGAGGAACTTCATATAACATTTTTATGATTCAAATAGTTTTACGCATTAGATGACAATCTTCAGATTTGCCTCCAAACTGTCTGAGAGAAACTCAATATTTTCATTCTAGCTATCAGTAGCAGTTACAGCACTAAGCTGAGTAAAGCTATTGGAAAAAAGTCAGCAAAGAGCGCATCACCAGCAGATGTACTTCATGTTCAGACAATTCTCTACATATTAGCTACTGCTGTGGATTTCTCCTCATATATGTGCACTTACACATTTAGATTCGCAGATCCATGTTATCAGATGTTAAAATGAAAATCTCCATTTTTCATAAAAGAAATTTGCTTTCAAACAAAGAAACAACAGAATCTTTCCATATGCTATCATACAGAAATTATTCTAGGCAAGTAAGATCATAGAATCATACAATGGTTTGGATCAGAAGGGACCTTATAGATCATCTAGTTCCAACACTCCTGCCATGGGCAGGGACACCTTCCACTGCATCAAGTTGCTCAAAGCCTCATCCAACGTGGACTTGAACGCTTCCAGGGATGGGGC